TGCTGGAATTAAGAATAGTGCATTAATCCTGACGATTTAGAGCAGAAATCTAGTTGAAAGGTTATTAAGAAGTTACTAAATGTGAAGTATATTATTTTACATAACTAAAGACAAGTGAAGAAACTAATTGAGATGGAACCTTTTTGAAATCCGTCATTTGACATAACGACCCACCCTTGCTTCGTGGTGTCACCTGCTCGTTCTCTAGAAAATTACAAAGTATTAGCTTGATAACACAAATCCTTTTGTCCGTGTAATAATTGCTTACAATTGCATATTTAAAGCAAATGGATTTTGTAAGATCTTTCGTAATTTAATAAAGGCCAGTTGGTCAATATCTATCCTGGTTCGACAGACTTGAATTGATATTTCGGACAATTCTGGCAACACAGTTGATACCCGCTGTTAAAACTGTCAATTTTTTCAAATCTTGTAACGTTATTGATTGTTATATTTAAATAACCTATGTGAAAAATGGAAATTTGTAGTGATAAGGGCCCACGGGAAAACATTACCATCATGCATATTGCACGGATCTCCGATCACTTGGTCCTCTGCATAACATCTGCCACTTATTATATTGATTTTTAAATTTTTAACATTGACAAAGAATTCGTCCAACAAAAAATCAATGAAATATTAATTGCATTGAATTTCTGCTTACTTCTGATTCGCCCAAATCAAATATTAGAGGTTATGCTTTCCCAGACGGCGTTGACACCATTCTCGAACAATTTGATTGAGGCAAGTCTGTGGCATCCATTCCAAAAGAAACGGTTAACTGTAGCGAGATAAAAACGAATAGAATGGTAATCATTGCCCTCGTAAGTGTAATTCAACATTTTCCTCAAATATATATATATATATATATATATATATATAGTTCTCAGTAACCAATCAATTTTTGGTTGAGCACTCAGGTTATACTCAAGCATTTATCGCAGCTCACGTAAGCTTTTGATTGGCCCAATAGGGCAAGACCCAGACAAAATCGATGATACATTAACAACATCAACTGAATGGGAGTATTTGAAATTTTCAAATTATTTATATCAATATTCGTTTGCACCAATAGAAGAAAAACCAACTTAGAATTGGCAAACATTGAAGGACATAGCCAGATTCAACATTCTCGTTGGTGTTTACCAAGAAGATTCAACTTTAGAGATAAATTGCACATTCATTCACATTTCGGTAAAGTAGACGCGCAAAAGGTTTGAGAATTTGCACCTTTTGGACAATCCATTAGGAACACTAAAGCCAAAGGCGAAATTGAGTAAAAGCTGTTTGTAATTATAAAAAATATAAATAAATAAATATTTATATACATGTATATATGTCAAAGTATATATAGTATATATATATATATATATATATATATATATATATATATATATATATATATATATATATATATATATATATATATATATATATAATTAAATATTCCTACTACAATGTATTCAAAGCTTTGTTTGACTTTTAGTACAGAAGGCGAAGAAAGTATAATTCTGAATTAAATATATTTATTCAAGTTGTGTTTTATGTTATGCAGCAGCAGATTGATCTTAACTCATACGCTTTCCATGTGAGTAAAAGTTATGGTCCTTCGTCATGCCTCACATTTCAAGTCCACAGTTTGACATTCCTTTGTAAAAGTTATATCCCTCAAATATTTGCTTCCATCATTGGTTGTATTAACATTGAAACAGCATAAAGAGAAGTGCCATAGTGTCAAAAATAATTTAGAAATTTTGCTAATCGTGCTTTACGCCTAAGTGTACAATATTTGCTAAATAAAAGGATGTTTGATGGGTAAAAAATATGGTTCGAGAAAAATTCAAATTTGATTAAATATAAAGTTTCGAACAATACTTTTTATCGAAATTTAAACACAAGAACTTGAATACTAGTAGAGCTTGTACTATTTTAAAGCAATCTCAATCAATGCTTGCTGAATGATGAAATGACTATTTGAATTAAAATCAAAGGTCACATTTCGATTGAACGTTATACTTTGAGCAATAAACCTAAAATCGATATTTCAGTAAATGTCCAAGTTAATTTACCATAGCTACTTAATAATAGGTACTTTGGCTAAGATGCTTAAGAATGAAGTTTAATTAGGTAGATAATAAGCCGCGTTCAGTTATAAAGACATCTAAGTTGACTGAAAATTTATTTTTACTGGTGCAAATGCGCTAATTTGAGTAGAGCAAATATTTATTTATTTATTTCAAATGGGAGGCGTTATGATAGGTATCATTAGCTCTTTAGTTGACTTCAGGCTCCACAGGAAGGAAGATGAACATCAAAGTGGCAAAAAGTCGAGAGGGGGACAGAATAATGTTTCACAGATGTAAAGGAGATAGAAAGACAGACACAAAGGTAGAGAAAAGCTAAGGTAAGATGAGTATTGTGGAATTATTCGATTATGAAATGCAGTGGGGACATGGTAGTTTGAAGTCAGAAGTCAACTGTCGGTTTATATAAAAGCATTTGTATTGCTTAGGGGTACAATTCGATACTTTGAACAATAATTATATGAGTTGAATTGGTAAAATCAATGAATACGCCCTATTTTTATTAATGAATTCGGTTTTTAAATAATATCTAACAATACTTTTGAAAATTTTAGAGCCATTTTTATTGACAATTTTTTGCGCTCAAGAGAGATTAATTAATCTTGACAGAATATGGTTTAGGTGTGTTCAAAATACTGGGATATGTTTTAAATTTATGATATTAATGAAACTTTTAACATTACTCCGTGGTACTTCTTAGAAAACAACTTTCGTCTATGATTCGTGGTAGCCAAATAAAGCTTCTTCTGATAATTTCAGCAATATTAGTACTCTGCTTGTGTACATTCCTCCAACAAATTCCTCACACATTCGCTTTCGATCTCGACGCAGAAATGGACGAATGTGCACGACTACATCGAATACCCCGCCTATCTGACAAACGTCGTGGTTTCGATTTTGGCTATGGGTCACTCAATGACACGGAATACATGTGCCGGTAGGTTAATACCTACGAAAATTTAACCTTTAAAACAATAATTTTTTGCCAATTTTGATAAAAATATGTGAATTTTTGCCTACTTTGGGAGTCAGCACTACTTGTGCAACTAATAAATTTTCTTGTAAATAGATGCACATTCAGATTAAATCGGTTTTGGAAAATTGTCGTCACCGTTCTGTATCTACCAGCAATTAAGACCAATGAAATGCTCTTAAAAATAATCGAGAATACAATAGGACTAATTTATCGATTGCATTTCCAGCAAATTTTCCGGATTAGTAAATTCATCATTAGTTTATCTTCGTCGAAATCTTGCAGAAAAGCATTTGTGCTTTCATTTCTAGGACATGGTAAAAGCAAAATGTACTAGAAACAAATGTGATAGTGTTAACTTAAAAGTTTTAACATATTTTTAACAGAATATAATCATTATTTAGGAATGCAGAAATTTTGTTTAATAGTTCCTACCCGTGTCATGTATTTAATTGGCCTTTTAAGCCAAAGTGCAATTAAACTAATCATGTTGCAATGAATTGTCAACTCTTTCCAGCCATAGAATTGTTTGCTATCTATTCCTTTTAATAATCACTTTTTGCAATATCTAATTGAATTAGCATTAAGCGTGGAAGTTGGAAATGTCATCGTTAATTACATTTCAAGAGAGAACGGCGTTATGGTAAAGGCATGTCGCTTTGTATTTCATGATATTAGATCTTTCGAATAAAAATACGGCACTGGAATAATTCGGCTAACCATTCAGTTTCAGTAATTAATGTATAGATTGGACACAAGTTAACGAAATGAATTAATAAAGTATGAAATACCAGAAGTTAAAAGAGCGAATAGGTGACTTTTAAACTGGAAAAGTGATTGCAACTTTTAATGCTACTAGTTCCGCATCTCGCAGTGAAATGCTATGCAAAAATGAGAACAAGCTCGACATCACCACTCATTCGCTAAATTTACAAGATTTTAGACATTTTAATTTCAAGCTGAGTTATAACCTCTCTCTCTCTCTATTAGGAGTGAACAATTCCGAAATACAAAGGTTCGAATGAAATAAGGATTTACAGCTCCTATCTTTATTTTGAGCCTTGTTTAAACAGCTTCTTCTTGAAGCGAGTCTAGGTAAATATCTACCAAATTGAAATAATTATGAGGGCAAATAATAATGGATAAAAACGAAGTTCAAAGTTTCTAAATTTTACCCTAGGGACAAATCTCATTCACATGATTACTCATTGGTTTGGAAAAAAATTCTTAACTAAAAATTGTTTTCAATGTTAAAAAAAATAGGGGAGGGCGGTTGAATATAAAATGAAATTGAATATCGTGAAGAGAAAAAATTTTGTTAACTTGTTTACTCCCATTTTCTCATTGACATCTCTTTATTTTGAGCTATCCTTCCTCAGAGTGATTAGCACTTCGACATCATCTCAAGCCTTCTGGGTACTCAATGAGTGCTTGTAAGCAAAATATCTGATTTTTTTTGAAGTTATTTGCTGAGATCTATCCGGTTTTCATGCTGGAAGTTTGACATTTTTCAATTGAAAATTATGCTGACGTTGATTTGTGTTTGTTATGTCTTCTCCACGGATATTTGAGGCGTTCTGAATCAGCTCCGACCTTTGAATAAATCCCTCATAACTCTAACTTTGCAGAAATATGTGTCACAGCTGAGAGTCGAACAAATATATTCAGCCAGGTAGAGAGAATTGGTGTTATTTGCATTTATATTGAAAATTTCGGTACGTGATCGAACGTCTCTTTTTAGTTTTCATGCAACCACAACGTTAGTGTCTTGTTGAAGTCTTCAAAGGATGTGGTAGTTCATTCCCTGCGTTTTATACTACAGCAAGTGAAACTAGACACTATGCCCAAGAAAAATGATTTCACATTTACTTTCACGCTTGATTTCATTTTGCAAGAGGTGGGTGAAAGCAGGTGAAACCGTTTCCTTATATTCTGTTCATTTTTAATCACTCAATTTTAAAATTCTCCTTCTTCTTGTTTAATTGAGAGGTCCTCTGGAATTCTTCTGGCTCTTTTCATTCCACTTTCTAAACATTCAGCTATTTTTTCTGCCACCTGAGTCACAAATGACTGATTTGCTTCAGGAGTTCGAATTCGTTCGAAAAATCAATACTCGGACGGACCAAGTCAATTTAATTTTTTATGAAACTTTTGCAGTAATTGGATGGTTACAAGGCTACATCAGAAGCTATTGCCAAGCTTAAAATTTTTATTAATATCAGTATTGGGCAGCCTGAGATTTCCTAGGTGTCCTAGAACTTGATTTTTCCATTTCTTTTCATTCAGAGTTACTTAAAGTAGCCCATTAGAACCTCAGTCTTCATGTTTTAAACTGACAGCACTGAGGAAACAAAAGATTTGGTAGAATTTTCATCAATGGGCATCCCTAGAGCATCTTCATTCTAATGCCTTTCATTACCACAAGCATTAAGAATGCGATTTCTGTAAAGTGGATCTCTGCAACAATGCATGCGGCCCATAGTCAGCATGGTAGCGGGTTTTTACCGTTCTTCGTCACAGAGTTTCTTACACTTCTTCAGACATAACCACAGTCACTGGCATTCTTTTGAATCGCAGTTGTGTCATTCAAGATGGTGACAATTCTTTGACATTCATCTTCCAAATTAGGCAAAATGAGTTAATATTTTTTTCTCAGTTGTATTAAGGAATCGAATACGTACAACCTCCCAGCGAAAATCACTCTGACCACTAAGGAACTCAAGGGGCTAAAGGTGATCATTCGAAACAGATTTCAAGTTCAATTGTTCAAACTTTTTATTTATTATCTTACCAAAAGCAATCAAGTCCCCATCTTTATTATTAAAAAATGTTGGACACTAGAAAAAATCGATGGCTTTTGCTAAACAGGGGTTTCCGCCTGAAATTTGCCTTAAAAAACCAGTTATCATGAGATTGATTCTTTACAGAGTCACGATGAAATGAACGTGGCCAGGAAGAACACTAACTATAAAGCATGCTCTTCATGGCACAATTTGTGGATGGAATTTTTTTCGGTTGTCCAGGAGGTGGATTCAGAAGTTTCGTAAATTGTTTCATTATCTCGCCAAAAAAAGTAGCATAATTTCATTGTTTCATGAAATTTGTTTGCCTGCTTTTCTATGATTTATTCAAGTTTATCCGCATTCAAGGACACTTTCTGCACTAGTTTTTAAATAATGGGAAATTTTTTTGTTCAAAACTCTCCGTCGCCAAGTAAAAATTTTAAAATTTCTCCAAATTTAGTATCAGTGGGAAGAAGAAAATGTAAAGATATGCTAATTTTTTAGGTTATATCTAGTACTCCCAGAAAAATATATACTCGCCACCTCGGGGCAAAAAAAAGGCAAAAATTTCTCAGTTAATCGTTGATTTTATACCAGAATATGCAAGGCAGCATAAGTTCACAAATGTAAGATCAAGGTAAACAAAAGGGTGTTAATAATTTATTTACTTTATTTTCCCAATCACACTCAAAATTTAAATTTCAAAACTAAAATATTTATTTCCAGGGCTAGTACCACTACTAGACGGCCGTCAATAATGAAAAGGAATTGTTGTGATGCAAACGTCAATTCTTTTGCTCAAATTTTGCAGATGACAGTCATCTTGTTGTTGCAATTAAGATAGAATTTGAAGTTTAAATACTTAATTTCAAAAAAACAGGGGAGAATGCAAATCTCCTTTCATGAGACCATTACAGGTGTGACATCAATTCAGTAGAAAGTAATCTTTTCAAGAAATCGATCAACCAGTTTCCCTGGCTATGGATAGAGTAAGGTGGCAAAAGAAATCTTTACTATTTTAGTATTCCCTCCTCAATTTTTTGTACGAATTCGCAATTTTACTTCAACCATCAATTTAGGTTTTCGGACTTTTCTCTAGCCATTCAAAAGTTTTATTTCGCAACCTTGAAATTCTACACTATTGAGATAATTTATGAAATACGAATTCAAAAATAATATTCTCTCACCGTAAATGAGATAAATTAGAGTGAATATCCTTTTTTTATCAGTGCTCTACTTGGTTCTTATTTTTTGCTTGAAATAAGTATATTAATAAGGTGCTTAATAAACCAGGTTGTAAACTTTCAAACATTAATTAAAACAATTTTATCGAATTTAAAAAGGAACATAATAAATATATTAACGACCATATTAGATGAAGTAAAAGAAAACATGATCACAAGATCATCTACAGCGCAACTATCCAAACTGCCTGCGTTCGACATCTGATATACGAGTTGCGTTTTCAATTTGACATTTTAGAACCAAGTATCACATAAAAATCATCCAATGCGTGAAGGAGCGTTGGGAGGCAATTTCGGATTTGCCAGCCGAACCGGGCTTCTTGAAGGTGGTTTTGGCTCACACACTAAACACCGAAAGATATGAACGTGCCGCGGCCTACATCTGTCGACAGCATAATTTCAGAAGCAAGTGCATTCAATTAATATTTAATTAATTAGTTAATTAATAAACACATTTGGTGGGGGGTTTTCTCTTAAATTAAATTAAAATAACTTTTATTATTGCATTATATGTCTTATTTCGTTTTAAGGTCTTGTCAATTAAAGCCAAGATAATGTAATAAAATTCTCAATTAAAAATGCACTTATATACTTCATTTATTCATGCCAAATGTTTTCAATTTTAAATGAACTGAACATAGAATGATATCTTTTTTTAAAATTCATGGGATATAATGAATGAGTAGAAGGCACCTGTTTTAGCATAATCTAATTTTACTTCCTCTTTTTAATAAAAAATTGAATTATTTTAAGGAAGCTCTAATTACAAGTAAAGCAGCTCTATAATTATAAATTAATATGAGTGCATTATTACTGAATCACTATTCCCAAATAATTTGATGTTACATAAACTGCATTTTTAAGTTAGAATTCATTGGCATAACAGACCCCCATAAATAATGGTATCAACTTAAATATGAAAAATGAAATAGAGCAAAATATTTTATTGAAAAGCCTTTTTCAAATTATAACATTTTTTGAAGAATTAACTATTGATAATTTTAGTTTTCCAACAACACAAGAATGCCTGCCTTCAAGAGGCAGAGCCAACAGCAGAGAGTTGTTCAAGGCAGACAGGTGAATCCATTCAAGAGTTGGTTGGAGCACTGAAAAATCAATCAATGAATGACCAAAGTGACGCCAATCATAGAGAATTGGAGAGAATAATGCAGGTATATGAGTGCAAGTAAGTTACTGCTGCTAATTAAAGTAACCATTTCTATCAAGCTTGCTTTTGAAGCCTCATAAAAGCAAGCTTAAATAGGGTAAATGTTTATAAGATCAACATACCAATATGTTGGTTAAATAAACATTAAAATGAAAACCATTTCAATATATAAAATGATTATGGAAATAAAAATAAATTACTTAGTTTGTGAACCCCTTTCAAAGCATTTTTATATCAGGCGGGTAGGAAAAAAAATTGTAAAATACAAGTCCAAAAACCAAATGAAGGAAAATTCTTTCAGCCTCTTTCCATTCATAATTTGTTAAATTTAAATAATAAGTTTATTTGCACTCATTTGTGGTTAGAAATAGAGCCAAAAGCTAATCTTGATCTCATGCAAAATCTATGTTTCTTTTCTATGAATAACTAAGTTTTCGTTAGTGATACCAAAATTATTGATTATATAGGACTAGTGCTGCGACTCAAATTTAGTAAATTGTCATAGCAATATTAAAATTTCAATCTCTTTCTCAGTATGCGCAATATCTTTAAATAACTTGGTAATTGACAAAAGGCTTTACACTTATTGAAAAACTTTCTTGATATTTAAGCGTACACACTCTAAAAGTATTTATAACCTTAAACCACCAGCTATATCACTTAATTGGCAACTCAAAAACACTATTTATCACATTTCGTATCGTTATTAAAGGTGAATTTCACTTAAAGAGTGGTGAATAGTAAAGATGATCTAAATAAGACAAATTCCTGTTAAATTACCAAGTAAGGATTCAAATGCTTACTGGAAGATCACTGCATATCTCCACATATTATGCCTCAAATCGGAGCAACTCCACGTACTGTGAAGTAACTCCATATATTAATATCAAATGGGAGGCCTTATGATAGTTATCATTAGCCCTTTTGTTGACTTCTGGTTTCACAGACGAAGAGGAACATCAAATCCAAAAAAGTCAAGGGGGGTGAACAGAAGAGTGTTTAAAGATGTTAAAAAGACAGACAGATACAAAGGCAGAGAAAAGGTCGGATAAGTATGGTGGAAGTGATCGAATATGACATACAGTAGGGTCATGGTAGTTTGAAGTCAGAAGTCAACTGCCGGTTAAAGGACTTTTTCGCAGTATGAGTATATGTTGCCCAGGGTGCACCACGTGGAGGTAAGTCTATCGCACACCCCGTAGCTCCATATATAGATTTTTAGTAAATAAATCTTTCTCAACATAAGGTGCTAATATTATAATCATTTTGAATTTCTCTAGCAGTAGTTAAATTGTACTGAACGGTGTTTACTTCAATCTATTTATGCATAAAATGTTTTAAATAGGATAAAACTGATCATCAATACAATGACGATGACTAATTGTTTTACTACAAATAGATAAAATTTAGTAAATGATGCTACTCGTGCGAAAAATCGAAAGCATGTGAAGTAAATATGAGCATATTTGGTGCCAAACAGTGAAATAATAGCAAATGCCGAATTACTGTTACTAAGTTACACTAGTTCTAGTTCCCTTTCACATCCCACATCCCCCCTCCCCCTCCCCCCTTCGCCTCCTCCAAAAACAAGTACTACGTTTTCCTCGTTGTCAATAGAGTAATTCGCATTTAAATGCACTTTAAAATCAGTCGAAAGATTTAAATACCCAATGCTTTATTAAGAACGATTTATTTTCGAAAGCATCACCTCTAGTAAATATTGCGTTTTTCTTCTACTTTTAGAGGAATGAGAAAGAAATTGAACTGTCTTCATACTTTGCTCTCTTCTCGTTGTTCAAATGACGCAATTCAGTTAATCATGAATTATTTCATTGAGAGTTTACCAAAAGATTGTAAATATCAATACCAAATTCCTGGTCCTTCAGATTCCGATTTGATTACCTCATCGGGGGCATCGAACCCTACAGCAATGCAAGGCGATGACGGCACTCTTTCAAGGTCCGGTCAACCACAACCTCTCCAACTCTCCTCCCCCCTTAATTATCCTACAGACTCCATCCCTACAAATCTTAGTGGTCAGCCGTTGAGCTCTATTATGTCAATTATCGTAATACCCTCTTTGATAATAGCTATGGGTGGTTGACTGTAAAGTAAGAAATGCGTATGAGCAAGTGTAAAGCCTGTGATCCTCTGTATAGTATAGATCTTCGATACCCTTGTGATGAATATATATACATGCACACATATTGCTATTTTCATTTATGAACCTTATCGTTAGATGGACCCCACCAAACTAACGCTATTCAACTTTCAGATATTGTTGTAAATGTTGCTTTTAAAAGATTCTTTCATTCGAAAAATAAATGGTCTTTTACAAATAAAGATATAACAAAAGGTATTGGAAACTGCGTATTAGAATGGGTAAGAAGCAGTGTTGACACCCCCACAATGAGGTGAAAGAAATGATGCAAGTTACAGATTAGTTTCACAATATATTTTGGCATAATAAATAATTGTATTCTTTAAATATGCCACAGTCAGTTAGCTGCAAATTCATTTAATTTGAGCCGATAAAACACCTTTTTTTGGAAATGCGCTACTCTAAAATGATATCAACTACGAATATGGTAAATTTTCATCAATTTTGAAAAATAATGACATGGTAACAGTGATACTGTTTCACTTAGTCTCTGCCCGATAATTAAACAGCGGTATGGATTTACAAAATATTATTGAATTAACTCGACCTAATAAGATCAAAAAGCGATATAATATTCTTGTTAACAAATTAGACTTGAAACAGCCGCCAAAAAAGAAGTGATGTAAGAAAAGAAAAATAATTGCATGTGTAGTTTTAAAAACGTTGTGCACTTTGCATAGTGAAAAGCCAAAGTAATTACTGATAAAACTACTTAATATTGACATTCTTTGTAATTGTAAATGGGTGTACAATTTAAGTTAATGAACAAAATTGAAAAGCCTGAATTTTAGGCCGGTAATGCAGTGGTCAAGGTAAACATCCAGGTGAATGAGATCAATGCCCATCGGTGCGCAACCAGTGGGGCGAATAACCAACCATTCCAGTTCTTTTCAGTGGAAAAAAAGCGGTTGCAGAAAATGAGTTTCTCTCAATGACGACTCTAGAAGAATGCCTTCCATTCACTCAACTTAAACTTCGAATAACCGGTTAGAAAAAAAAGATTGAAATCCTGTAGTGTTTTAGTGATGAAGGTACGAGTAACTGAAGCCTGAGTTGTGGTTGAAGGGTAGAAAGATCAAGTAAAAAGTGTTGTACTGATCACGGAACATTTTAATATATTCCTTATTCCTTTGTGTGCATAGCGAGTAAAAGCTTGTATTATCTATTTGGTTATAAACTATCAAAATGAAAATCCTTTTAGTTCTTACTTATCTGTCTACCTGTTAGTAAATAGTCCTTTAAAAGTTATTAAGAGCAAACGACTGTTTCCTTGCAGATACCTCCTACACTCAGATCGCAAACGAAGGTGAATATGTGGATTTGACAATATTATAGGCAACGGAATTTTCCATTTCCTTTTAAATAATATGGCTTTTCACTGAAACTGTACTTTATATAAGCCAAATGTACTTCTTTGAGTGCTTAAATGTAATTTCTAATAGTTGGTATGCGGGATGGTGAACAATTTAATGGGCGATGAAACTTGCTGATAAGTATATCACATGCATTAATTATTTTTAACCCTGAATGAAACGTTGAATGGATGTAATCTCAATGCCTTTGAGGCATTGCAAACGAAAGTGAAGTAATAAAGCACGGCGGAGTGGTCATTTTTGATCCAAAAATGACCTACTATACAGTAGATCCATTTGTCCAATGGATGAAAATGGAGAATTTCCTCTTATTTAGGATATGCGTGATATTGTACGATAGCTTGCTAGCAAGGTATTCTCCTGATTTAGAGCTTGATTGTTAAAAGCATGAAGCTTTGTGAAGGAACTCCGCTTTAAATTTAACTGGCCTTCTGATTTCAGACCTCTGAAGTGACATGCATCTTAAGAATATGCCCATTTCGTCTTTGCGACTTTCTTGCAATACATCATTAGGTGCTCATTCAACCCCATTAATTAGAGTTCTATAGTTTTTACCCTGTCATGGAAGATAAATAAACTTAAGTAGTAATTAAAGCATAAATAATATTTTGCTAACTTTAGTTTTGACAGGCACAAATCAAGTTGTTACGTCACTGCACATTCATATAGAGTGCAGTGACTAAGAATTCGCTTTCAGATTTCATACACACTTTTTAGTTTGCTGGCATTTGGTTGCAGTTGATTTACGTTTTCTCCGCTTTTGAATAATTTCCATCACATAAAGCCTATCTCCTTTGTTTTTCAGACTGATTAATCGTTGTATTTGTTAAGCATTCAATGAGCTTCGTTATATTTGAAATTCCCATCCTGACATGCAGTTGGCGATCTCATTTAACCTGTTCTCAAAAACATGCTACCTTGAACACTTAAGGTGTATCCAGCATAGTCCTGGCGGAAATTTAAATACGACAGAAATACGGTTGGGAAAATTTTCACAATTTAAAGTTTAGCCTTAATTCCTTAACAGCGTCAGATTTCCGTCATCATTTTTGATTCAAACGCACTTGTTAATCCCTCGGTAAAAAGAATGCAACATACTTAAACAGAAATATAATTTTAGAAATATTCTCACAAAAAAAACAAGTTTGAATTTACTAAATCGGGAAATAAAGTGTACTATGCTTTAGCAAATGCTAAAAATTCATTCATCATTATTAAAATTTACACCAATTATATTAATAATTAAATCGAATAATTTATTGAATTTCGTCTAATGCATTGAAAACGCGAAATAACTTGCCAAAATTCGCTTGGTTGTAGTTATTTCAAATACATAATGCACATGCTACAGTTTTTTATCACTTTAAAAGCCCAATCAACCACTGTGATAAAAGGTCTTTGTTATCTGACAAAAGTTGAAAATGCATTAAGCGTTCAATTGAATTAAAAAACCAAGAAGGCAACTACAACCGAAATCAATGAGCCATGAGAGAGGTTAACTGATTAATCTTTTTTTGTCAAGCAATGCAAAAGAAATAAAAAACAAAGCAATACTTTGCAACTGAAATTTGTTACGATTAATTTTGAACATTTTCAGAAGATTTTGTGAGTGAATGCAAAACTTTTAAAAGTCAAGCTTCACTTTATTATTTTTTGGAATTCGAAGTGTATAATATTTGCTCAGAATTACATAATTATTAAATAAACCGCATCGTTTTCAAAGCTATTGGATTTCTTTATTATTTAATGGGAAATACAGACGAATTATATGCTGTATATGAGGCCATTATTTCAAGTAATTGCAAAATGTTCCCTTGAGGTCAAAAGCAAAAATATATAATTCTGGTAGTTTTCCCAGCGTGAAAAAGTTTAACGCTCTCAGTGAAGGTTGATTATTTGTTCATGCTTCAGTTGTACAACTGCTCAAACAAAATTATCCAGTTCCCTAAAGCATATCATACTTGCTTCTCTATAATTGATTGAGCACACTTCAATAGACTCTGTCGTCTCAAACTTTTCTCTCAATTTCTCTCTCTCTCCCTCCCTCTCTCCCGATTCCTCCCTTTTTGTCTCCTCAGTTATCCCCAGTGGTCCAATTAATCTGCAATCTTCCCTAAATCGCAATCCTCCCACGCTTGAAAGATGCATTCATCCTGTAAGAAATATGAAGATAATTAATTATGTGAGGTAGTGCAAAGACTATTTTGAAGTTGCTGTTGAAATATAAGAGCTAATTTAAACATCTACAAACTTTCTTCGGCTATGAATTATTAAAAGAAATAAAATAACGCGCCGTTTGATTTGGCCAAGAATGAAATGGTGCACCAAAATTAAGTTTGAAACCGAAACAAATTTAGTAAAGAGGGGTATGTATCGCATTGATTATTGGGAATATTTATTTATATCAAATGGCTGGTGTCTTGATGGTCATTATTAACCCTTTAGTTGACTTCAAGCTTCACAGAGGGAACAGATGTGTTTCAACGATGTAAGAGACAATAGAAAAAAGGTGAGATGAGTACTGTGGAAGTAGTCGAATGTGGCATAGAGTGAGTTGATGGTAGTTTGAACTGAGAAGTCAACTGTCAGTTAATAGACTTTTTTGCCGTAT